GTGTGTGTGTGTGTGTGTGTGTGTGTGTGAGGAGGGGGTGGGTTGATGGAAAGGGCAGTAGCCTATAATATACACACTATGTTCGCTTCAAGGGTGTTTCAAAGGGGTGCATTAAAGAAACAGATACAGAAAAGAAATTTTTAAAATAAGTTGCAAAATGATTTTAAAATAAAACATACGTCCTGCTCGAAGTCCTATTTTGATTTCCGCGGTGAGCACAGGGAAACAAATACACAGCAGCTCTTCAGAATCGCAATTTATATCTATTTCAAAAGACTGCGTCAACGAACTGAAGAGACAACGCGAAAAATCGATTCCAAAATAATAAAAAAAATCGTTTTTTTTGGTTGGTTTTTGTTTTAGTAAGCGCTTTACGACACTACTTATAGCACAATTAGGCCACATTAATGCCGAAGATAAGAGGTATTACTAGAGAGTAACAAACATAAACTAGAAGGAGAGATAAAGGCGATAGTTGTTTGATAGGAAAGAAGGAGCAAATCGCACTGAAGCACCCGCCAACCATCCACTTCCCATCTTTTACTGGTCGTAAAAAACTTTGTAGTCTCTTGTCCAAAAAGAGTTCTCACGCGCTCGCGCAGGTATTGTAAGATCTTTGTTGTTAGCTCGCGCAGGTATTGTAAGATCTTTGTTGTTAGCTCGCGCAGATATGGTAAGATCTTTGTTGTTAATACGCTCTACCTATTTTGCTAGTTTGTGGTCATATAAGTTAACAGTGTGTGCCAACATGTGAGTTTGAAGACAAGTCTGTCCGTGTGTTCAATTGTATGCGTACGTGTTAGTTTATCGTTAACAACGTAATAACACGCTCATCAGACACAATTTTGTCACGACACATGAACACCCAAAGCACCACGCCCCTACACAGCGATTGAGTTTCGGGTGGCACACAAAGACAGAAATGAGATCGATAACGGTTTTGGAAAACGAGGCTGTCTCGCACGCATGCATGCACGCACGCACATACACTCATGCACTCGCATTATAGACATACACGCACTCCCTCTCTCTCTCGCTTACTCTCTCTCTC